AGAATCTAGATAAACAAGTAATTGCCAAGGTTTATCTATAATTATACCAGCTGCCATGGGAACCGAGATTAGTTCAGCTCCAGTGACTTTAATTTGTAAGGTATGAAACATTGTCAATCTGATTGGTTTATAAATGTAGAAAAAAGCCTGTGACAAGTTGCAGGTAGCCAAGAAATGTCTGAGCGCCAGCCGGAATTAATATGTTCGATGAATATTCACAGCCATTTCATTATGTATGCATACATAAGCAGGTAGATTTACACAGGAGTGTAATCCCACTAATTGTTCCAGCTGCTGAGCCCACAGCTATCCTCTACTGAACTTCATCACTGGAAATGTCCATGTGTCTATGTAGACAGCTGAAGCTGGTGCTTCAGTAGCACCTGCAGCCCAAGTTGTGTCCCTGAGTTTTGCAGCCCATCCTAGGAAGGACAAGACACGCATCATGCAGCCGTGGTGGCCCTGCTATAGACCTGCCCTGAGATGAGAAGGCCTACAAGCTTCTCAGGACTACAGGCTACCTCCACAGGACAGAGCAGCCCTCCCAGTGCCTCACAGCCCTTCCCCTTGCAATGGAAATGACTGCCTTCCACCTGTGTCAATTCCCTCTCTGCAGGACCGAGATGGAAACATCCCGTGTTTTAGCCACATCCTATTATAAGTCTTTAGACACCCCATGTGACTTTCTTTCTTCATGGTACATGCAGATATTTGTATCGCTTTCTCCATCTAGTCCGAGAAACCAAACCAGGTTTGCTCTTCTATCCCTCAGTCAGCTGAAGAGAAGTACTGAAATAGGGACAGCTGTTTCTTAGAAAATAATGTACACTACTTTTTTTACCACCTCTGCTAAGAATAGGAAATTTTTCTAACTTTTAATCATATTTTTAATGTTTGTGATGGATCTATCTGCACTCCAGAGCAGGTTGGACAGTTGGATTCGATGATTTCAAAGGTCTTTTCCAACCTAAACGATTCTCTGATTCTATGATTCCAACGAACTGTGAATGGGCACACAGCATGAGAGCTAAGGGTTGTTCACTGATCCCTAACTACTAACGTGCCTAATCCAGTAGGTTTTTATTGTTTGTTTAGGGTACTGTTTTTTGAGCCTTAACTCATTGTTAGTTAGATCGCGTTCAGATGATCAATACCATGTATACAGAGGTCAAATTGAGATAATACAGCCTGTTACGTCGTACAGGAATTGAAATGTGGATTCTGGTAGTTTTCATGGACAAGATTTGGGATGAACAGAGCCAAAATTTCATATCTGTACTTCTTAACTTCCCTGGCACTATTTCACATTTCAAGAACTGATTGGATAGAGAACAATTGTGAAAATTTCTATAAAATATTCTTTGAATATTTAAAGAAGAACAGAGTGCCTATCAAGAAACACACACCCCAAAAACATTTTTAAGGGAAGATGAGTAAGTACATTCAAGCAGTTAAACCACAAAGAATACATAAAATGAAGAACTAGCTCTTCAGCCACAAAACTGTGCCCTCTCCTAGCCTTACAAATTCCCTCACTTCTCAGAAGGTAGGAGAAAATATATGGCTTCCAGCATGATCTCATCATTAACATGTTTCTTGTGTTCCCCCCAGAACTGAAAATGTTATCATCAACATCTTTTTTACCAGCAATTACTTCACCAAAACCATAGCATTTTATAAGATTTTGACAAAAAATAGAACATTTTTATTTCATTTGATTATTTCCAAGTGTTTTGTTTTATCAAAATGAAACAATTTTTTCCAATTTTTTAACAAAAAATATTACAGTGTTTTGGTGAAATTATATTAGCCTATTTTTAACTATCCATGACTGTTGCTCCTAATAATTTTCCTAGTCTTGTGGTAAGTTATTTAAAGACTTTAAAGACCTTGGTTTGCCTTAAATATGTGTGAACCTCACTTTCCACTTCAAAAAAATAGGAAATTTTTGCTCCTGCACTGTAGGAAGTTTTAAAAGATGACCGAGTCTACAATTAAGATTCAGAAACTGCAAAAAAGATTAAAAATCATTCTTTTCCTAAAGCCCATAACCTTAAATAAACATTGTAACTTGAGAGGAGGGCCAACTGCTGATCTATTTTTAAATGTATGATATTAGCAGTCCTGCACTGAGTCTAAGATAGACCTCACCCCTCGTCATTCAAAAATTCACTACATTATATAACTTTCAGTAGCTTGCTGCATTAAGTGGCATGCTCATTCTGTGCAGCTTGTGATGGTTCAATCATTGCTTACATTTTTCTTTTATTGGAAAACTTGGCTTTTGGATAGCTTTTTGAGAAGAAGTGAACGTCATCCTGCAATAAAAACCAGGCAGGTCCAACTCCCTGCTCAGCTCTTGCCCATTGCTTGCCTCGTAGAATGTTGCATATACATAGTGTATACAGAAATGTCTCATTTAGGATCTGTGTGTGCATATGCACAAATGCACAGGCACACAGAACATATAATAACTGACAACTGACTCAGAGACCAGAATTTGGCTTTCTCTCAGCCCAGATAAGCAGCCCGGTGATGGGGCTGGGACTCCATCTCTTCCTTGGTGAATATTTCTTTGCTTGTGTAAGGTGGAGCAGCTTGGGAACAGCTAATGCCCTCTGCATTTGAGTTCGTATGTAAACAAAACTTATTTATTTGTATAAACATGACAGAATCAGTGCAACAGAGAAGTAACAGAAAAAAGTCTCATGTTTTATGCTTGTGGCTCTGGATTGCCTCTTGTCAAGTCATCTAACCTCCACACATCTCCATCCCAAGTTCAGGGCTTACGTTTCATTGTCAACTGAAACTTTTCCTCCAGAATATTTATCAAAACTGATGGATTCATTCCTCCAGGAAAAATAAGTTTCTCCTCATTTGGAAAACAAAGATTGAAACAACTCCCAGTTTTTCAACAGTTGGAACTTCTAGCACATAAGCCGCCTAAGTGACTTTTTGGTGAGAAGCCTAGAAGAAGGAGGAAACTCCATGGGCACAGCGCCCAGAAACAGAGTGTTAGATCCCATTTTACATTAATTTTATTCTAGATCAAATATTGCTGCACACTGCAATTATGGTAATATGTGAAAAAGGAACAGACATCTAGCAGGTAAGTGGGAGCCAGGTCTCCTCTGAAACACAGAATAAAATTAACACCTTAAAAGCAATTGGGAGAACACTCCAAAACACAAATCAGAGTTACAAGCTGTTCCCCTGGAGTAGAATGAAAGGTAGTACTACACATATGAAGTGCTAGTGGAGCTGGTATTTACTAAAGGGAGTCTAAAAATTATTTTGCACCAACTGGTGAAGGAAGAGTTATTCCAACCATTGGCATACCATCTAGGTCTTTTCCCTCCTTTTAATTACTTATGTCAGAATTGATAGCTAACTTAGCTTACATATGCATGCATTCCAAGTCAGATTGCAAATCTGATTCTTATTACTGAAGAAGTAAATGTTTCATGTCTGCTTTCTGTTTTTTACTTCTAGGTGAAATGGTCTACATTATTGCCTATTCCTCCTGCATAGTTCTCATCCTAGGAATAGTCCTGTTGACTCTCCTAAAGATCAGGTAATTTGATAGGGATATTAATCATTGGTTCTAAAAAATTGGAAAAGCAGAAAATAAAATGTTTTGACTTAGTTAAGAGGTTGGCACTGCAATTGTCTTTAAAAACAGTCCACCATGCCCCCGTGATGGAAAGAACTGACATTGCGGGTGTCAGCAGGGAGGAGTGAAATACGATGCGTATCTACAATGCCCTCCATTCATGCAGAGATCCCAGGCTTCAGAAGGTTTCATTTCCTGTCCCATGGCAGGGGAAGGTGAAATCTGAATTCAAAAATTCTGCAAGGCTACCTTCCTAGCCCTGTAGCAAGCAGAGGTAATGCAGAAAGGAAATGAGAATATTCAGCATTATAACATATTTAGAAACTGAACCGTGAATGCTGCTATTGTAGTTAATATTCTTGCCAAATGCCATTTTTTCTGATAGGAGTCTGTAAACATTCCCCCCCACACAGTATGAGAAAATGCCCATGCACCAATGCTTGGTAAGAAAACAAAAATGTGTATTCACTTAGTCAAATGAACATGGCCTTTTCTTAAATGATACATTTTCTTGGACCAAATTAAATGGCCAGATTTCAAGAATTACACTGTCAGACGATAGGTAACAGAACATGATGTAGCAGGAGCTATATATAGCGGGAGGGATATTGAGTCAAATTTCATTATTAAATTCAGAGGCAGATCAAAGAGGGATCATGCAGAAAAATGCAAAAGGCAAGTCAAGGATATATGGGAACAGAGGCTTTCTCTTTAGGTTTGTAGTTACAGGAATATCAGCATATAAATAAAACTCAGATTTAAAGAATACAGGGGATGGAAGAAAGAACAGTACATTAATAATGGTGAAGGGAATTATTTTATACCACAGTGTTCATCATAAAAAGAGGGGAATTTTGCCACTGATTTCAATTAAGCCAAAGTTCAAACCAAAAGCTGTATAGTTTATTGTTAAATACATGCACATTCTTTGTTTTCAGAGCCTGCAGAACAAAACATGAGTCAAGAAGCCCCTTGCCAGACCATTCTTCTGAAACATTTATGGTCCACTATAAAAGTCACAGATGAACTACCCTGTTGCTTATGCTTTCTAAGGCTATTCTTGAAAGCCAGCCTGTTGTACATATGCGATAATAAAATATATATTAGAAAAACTACTATAAATTATGGAATTTTGTAGTTGAGCATACAAAAGATTTTTATGTTTATTAACACATACTAAACCTTTCACAAGCTAAAGAAAAGTAGAACTGTGCTCTCTCTCATTTGCGTAGATTCACAGATGTGTTCTGAGCGGCACATTTCCTACATCTTTAGATGCACATGACTGGTATAAATGCTGTATCAGCATGAATCTGCCTAGCAGCGGCAATCTTTGACACCCGCCCTTCTGATCTGAACACATCTGGCAGAAAGGAAAAAAACCTACTCAGAAATATTTGAGAGAGCTGTTAAAAAGTACATATGCGTAGTTTTGTACACTACGTTCCCAAGTACCTAATGCCATTTTGTAAGCCAGCACTCGGAGGTGGGCTGCCTGTAGTTTGACAGTGGAGCACTTAGTGGGGTAGGAGGAGATCAGACCATTTTCAGTATCAAAAGGAGTTAAACTGACTATCTGAGCTAATGCTTTGACTCCAGTATGTTGTTACTGAAACGGGTTATTCTTTCTCCTCCTTCAAGAAGAAATTAGTGAACCTTTCCAACCCCAACACAGTAATTTTTGAAAGCGTTTTGTGGTCTGAATGCCCTGTGGAGAGAGCCACTTGCCTGGGGCTGAAGTGAAGTGCCTATTTCTCAGAGAGAGAAGTTACAACCCATCTCATCATCTGTGTTTCCTATTCATTGTCTCTAGGCAATACCCGAAGTGCCTAATTCTCCCCGTGCACTGTACTGGGAGTCATGGTCCCTAACACACCAATCTGGATCCCAACTTTCTGGCTATGAGTTCTGGATTTCTCCCAGTAGCTGAGTTGTTTTGCTAGATTTAAGCTTCTGTTTATTAGCAATTTGTTGTCTTTGCTATATCTTTGTCACAAATTGGTTCTGGTCAGCACAGGCTAATGGACTGGCATTTCTTATACAGCTGTTACCATAAGTAGCATACGCATTGTCTTGTTATGATAGCATCTGATGAATTAATTTTATTTTCAATTTGATTAATTTGAATTTTGTCTGAATTCCCACTAAACATAACTCACACGATGAACAGCATGAGGAATGAAATACTGGTTCCACTGAATTCAGTTCCAGTTTTGACCATGACTGATTCAGATGTAGGGCTAGAAATTTATGGTGTGACCAGAAGAGCAGGATTATCTGCTTTTCTGTGTGACTTTTGCTTCTGGTTTTGGTGCTTGTTAAATGATACAGTGTGTGACCAAAGTCTTACGTGTGCAATTCTACTGGGGAGAGATTAGACCTTTTTAACAACTATTGCAACATGCATTTCCTCTTTATTTAGGATCTGCATAAACCCAAAAATTAATCCTTGTCTTGTAGTCAAATACTCTCTCATTACCAACTCAGCCTTGATATGAAAATAGAACAGAAAGTAGAAAGTTGGTTAGTTTGTTCATCAAAACAATCTCCTTTATCAGTCCAGCAATTTGCAGCATTTCGTTTACCTTCCATCATGTAGGTATTTTGAAAGTAGTATATTGTTATTCTTCATCTTAAAACCATAAAAGGAAAAAGTTCAAACTGAATACACTGCTGATAATATGTTCTCATCAGTGTTGGATAAAAACATTTCTTTATATAGGAAATATATTTATGAAGAGAACCCTGAGTTGGTTTTCAGTCTGACTTTAAAAAAAAAGATGCTGAACCCTTTGTGTCACAGAATTTGAAGAAAGCTATTTATATTCTGATATAACTAAACCTCAATCATAAAAATATCTCTTGTAACTTTCTGTCTTATGAACTTTTTGTTTTCGTGTTATCTTTTATTTAGTTGCTAGGATCTCTCCTCATATATGTGCTTAGACACACACACACAAGTATGTAAAACGTATTTGAAGCAGCAGGTAAGTATGTGAGTTACTCTGCAAGACAGCAAGATATTTAGTGGCTATTGTGTTGCTTCTGTAATTTTACAGGCTCTCTTCATTAGGGCTGACTTTATTGCTTAATGGACAACACATTTCCTCCATTATCAATGTAAAATGTATTCTTTTGATTTATATTTGCTAGTGGCACTGTGTTTTGTCAATTGTATCTAGGCATTAATTATTAAATAAAAGAATTTCTGCTGGGATTATCTGTATTCTGGTGATCATGATTAGACTCTAACTGCTTCATGAACAGTTTCATGATGGAAGAAGTAGTATCTTTGTAACAGCCTCATCATTAAAATCTTTTCATCTGAAGAGAGGCATCTGCACCGAATTCCCAGCTGAGGAAAATTAAGTCTCACTGATGACTTGGGATTCCCAGGACATATGCTATTTTGGGTGAGGAGGTGGTGTTTATCCTCCTTCCATTGGAGCTAGGACATCACAGAGTGAAGAAATGAAGATTAATTGGGCTAGAGGGAGAAAGCATAAATTAGCCTTAAAACATCCATATCTGAAAGGTGGCATACTGGATTCCAGTTTTTACTTTCAGGATTGTTTATGCAGTTTATTTGATTGTTTAGAATTAAGCGTGTAGAGTTTTTGAGACAAATACGCAGGACTAGCTGTTCCTTATGCAGTATTGAAGGTACAAAGCTGTAAAGTCCAAGTCTGTCTTGCCACAGCGAGTCTTGAATTCTTCAAAAGGAAGATTTTCCTCACCCGTCTCACCTGTTTGTGTGGTGAAAGAATGGGCTGCTTGGAGGGACAGGCGTGGACTCAGCTTTTTCAGGCTGTTGTGGGAATCACATCCTGGTACTCTGAGATAGATGTCAGATCACGCTAGTAACACTAGATGGATGGAAGCAGCACCAACACCATCCCAAGATGGTGCCTTAAAAGAGTGAACACCATTCAGGTCTTTCAAAAAAATTACTGTGGATGTCTTTCCACCAGGGAAAATGCTTGGATTCAAGCTGGTGAAGATAACCATTGGCACCTCATGTTGAGGCACTTCAACGGTAGCATGGGGTAGGGAATTTTACTGTTGACTTTTCCAAGAAAGTTCCCTGATTGACACGGTGGTGTTTCAGACCACATGCTGAAGTCATTCAGTCTCCTATGAAGTGTGTAGGGGGTCTTAGATGTTCACTTAAAGGGCACAGATTTCTAGTCTGCAGTGGAACATCTGAAGTTAGGTAATGCCTCATTGAATTTTTCTTGTAGTCAAATACTCCTACCTCCATTCCTGGCTATAGCTTTTAATGTTCAGTTAATGGAGGGAAGAAATGTTTCCCTAGTAACTTAGAAGAGATTTGTCAGCTATAAAAGCACACAGGAAAACTGATAAAAAGGTAATCCTAAGAAAATGCACTCCAAATGGATTACAAGGTAACAAAGTCAACACAGGCACACATGTTAGAGTGACAGCTTGTATTTACTAATGACATTTGTGTGAGCTGGTTAGTCAGAGCTGCTGAATCTGTCATATTACATGAGTATATCAGCTTCAATAAACACAGAGACAGATTTTATTTCAGCTTTAACACCACTTATTGCAAAATCACAAATGCATTTAACCAAGAGGGTACATGACAGTTCCTTAACAAACATATCTCTTTGACATCAGTTTCAAAGGACTAAGTTGACTTTGGCTGTAGTCCTTCTGCCTGCTGTGTTATTGCAACAATGAAGATCAACACTGTGTTACAGCAGGACCATAGAGAAAAATAATCTTCAAGAATATGACATAACAAAAGAAAAGCATTGATCAGCAAGTCAAGAATGGGAAAGCAAGTGTCTTTCATTCAGTTCTCCAGACAGATTCTTCTGTTTAGTCAGTTCTCTAGACATTTCATAATCAACAGAGAACTTAAGGCAGTCTGAAATATCATACAAAAATTCAGTGGCAGAGAATCCTCATTTTCAGGTATCACAGTAATTAAATAATATTTCTACTCCTTAAAAATAACTCTGTGAAAAAATAGGCAGATCTTACACATTCACACTAACTCTTTGGAAAAGTGTTATTTCATTGCACTGATCCTAAACATAGGAATTTTACCTCACAGACTTGCAGTCTTCATTTTGTGACTCCTTATTACAATAATAAAAGTTTTATGAACTGAAATGATGCTATTAAGAAGGGAAAAGTAGTCAAAGCCTCTCTGGACTTATTCACAAGACCAGAATATTCACTTCTTTTTTCCATAAACTCTGTTTATACATGAAAACGAAACATTAAAGTTCTGGTCCAGAGCCAAGTTGCCCTAAAACATAAAAGTCTAAACTACAAAGCAAGCAGCTGCTGGAAGACATTAGCACTATCCATGTATGGGATCCATGTCATTGCTGTCTTGTGAAAGGCACTGAAGAACAGTTATGCACATAACTAAAGGAACTGATCAACTTCTGCAAAAAATCCCACCAGCCATGCCTTTAGAACAATGTAATATCTTGAGCAGCCAAAGAAGCTGGTATTTGACTTTCTATTGCCAGTAACATGGGAAAAAGAAAAACTACTATGAAAATATTAAAGAAAATTTCAGCAATGTGGCACTGGTCATCTGTTGAACCTTCACAAGTTCAGACCAATACAGAGACCAAAGACTGCCCTGGGAATTCCAGTTTACATACTCCATGGCCCTGGCAAAACTAAGATGATCTCCATCATGTTCTAAGATGTTCTGTGAGATCTCTGCAGTGACTTTGATACAGAGAGCTACAGAAGAAAGTCTCCAAAGCACAGAAGTAAATATCTTGGTATACCTAATTTGTCTCCGATAAGACTCAGAGAGGGTAGTCAATAACTACTTCTCTCCCACACGCTCTCAGAATCTACGCATCCCCTTCTTAGCATTTACAGAGGACCATCAGCAAAAAGACAGGGACACAGCATGTTCCCATATTCCAACAATGTGATCACGATATCCAGCACTCTGTTGCTTTACCTTTCAACAAATATATATATATAATTTTTATAATGGCATAGTAATAGGAACACCTGCTCATGGAAGACAAACACCAGGATACAAGCCTTCTGCAGCCAGAGGGTTACTTCAGGGTGAGGTGACAGCACTGTACTCAGTGGGGGACACTGTCAGGGACTAACAGAGCAGGAACCAGTGGTGGGTCACTCTGAATATAAGAGTAAACATTTAGAAGTTCAGAAGCACTGGAGAGCAGTAGAGCCATCACATCACGTGGAGTTCTTGCCATGTTTTTGAAGGGATGTAGTCAACTGCTTTATTATGTGCTGAACTCAAAGCTGCCTATGTGATGCATGCTCATGGCATAGCTACTGGATTAACCCCTGATCTTAAGGGCAATGCATGCCTATTTTGTGAAGCCAAAAATTAGGTGTTAAAATGCTCCGCACAGTCAAAACGTTGCCAGCCCAGGAAAGCGGAGCAGCAGCACTTTAAGTGCCTAACAAATTTTAGTAGCAAGAACATGAGGTGTCTCAGAATTCTCAGTCACACTACAAGTAAAGAAGTATTTTGTGGGAATTGTTCACCTGGACCCACAGGCCCAAATTCATCCCAGGTGGTACTTTTGGCACATAAATGTTGGGGATTTTTTTTAATCTGGCTCTGCGTTTCTTCCTCCCTTGTAACAATCCTGACAAACAATCTATTTGTCTGTGACCTCCACCCTGGATTACTATAACTCACTATGCAGTTGAAGCTGAACGTGAGAGTAAAGAACGGGCTCCAGATGTGACTGCTCATCTTTTCCAATGCTCACATCATTATAGAATAACAGACCTGCATTTAAGGCTTTCCACAAGCTCCCAAGTAGTTTCTAAAACAGACCCAATAAAGAACTGAGGTATTTTAGGTTGTTCACCCCAGTGATTTAATAGGTACCCTGTTTCAGTGCATAGGGAGAGTTAAGAGCCTTAGAATTGCAAACTGGACAGCCCTGATGCTGAGAAGCCTAGGATGCACTATGCACAGAGGCATGTTTGAAAACTCCTCTGGAGTGTAAGGGTCTCCTAGTGCCAAAGTTAGCAATCCTTCATGGCAGTTAGGAACGTAAGCATCTAGAACTCCCAAAGAACTGAGCAGAGCTAGCTCTTTTATTCTGTAGTCTCTGTTCTATGTAGGTATTTTATTTAACACACAAGTTGTAGTAGTGAAACCACTCACTTTTATCTAAGATCTTGTATTTAGTACACTTACCAAAAAAGAGGACAGTATCAATTCAGTTCCTAACCTGGCCTGCAGCTGAAGCCCTCACCACCATCTTCAAGGAAAAAACTCTTATCTGTTGCAGAGACATTTCTTTCTTGTGATCTTTCTGTTCTCAGGAATTCTACTCAGGTAGAATTCCACCCTACCCAGCGGCACAACTTCATCCAGATTTACTAGAAAGTGCATTCTTTTTCAGTTCTGTATATAGCCAGATGGTTAGATCCATTGATTAGGATGCCAAAATATGTTCATTTGAATCTCCCCAGGCTGACTAGCAAGCTAATCTCAGGTCGATTGTTTATTCCAACACAGGCTAATATTAAAAAGTGGTCATTTTGACTATCATTACAGCATAAACAGTATAGAGGTTTTATATTAAATTTATAGCTTTGAGTTACCTAGCATGCAAAATTTCACTTTCTAAAGCTGTGCCAATTCTAAACTACAATATTGGCTAATAGATCTCAGAAAAAGTTCACTTCAAAATTTCAAAGGCAAACTGAGACTCAGCTGTAACTTGGCAGAGTTGAGTTCCAGACAAAAATGATTCAGCCTTTTCCTTCTTCAAACGTTATCTTTAACTTTCTTTCATCTTACCTTTTCCCAACCTTTCATATTTTGGAAGAAAATGGAGAATATTGAAAAAGATTATAGTCCAGGGTTCTAAATTTTCATGTTAACAGGCTATGTTCAGAAACAATATAGACCAATGTTAAGTATACAGAGAATTACAGAAGGATCCTACACCAACAACCAACAACTTCTGAAGCGTCTTGAACACCCTCATATGCAGCTAGTATCTCTTTTTCAGTCGGAGTGTAGTGGGCTTCTGATCCTCAAAACCCCCAGCTCCAAAACCCTAATGGTCAGGCTGAAAAAATGACAATATATTCATGGCACATTTGAACAGTTTATAGACAGGATAAGGCTCTTCTTTGAGTTTGTCCATTATTGATCTAAAAATAACAATGCAGTTCACCGGCGTCTTGCTGAACTGAGACATGTAAAAGAACATTATCACTATCAGTAGAGCACAGAGAAAAATTGTAAGTGATTCCCTCCGTGTAAGCTAGTCCAGCACAATATTATTATCCTCAAAAACTCGTGACTTCTAAGTGAGAATGACAATCCATACACTATAGAATATAAAATCAAATTGTTTGATAAGACCTTGGACAAAAATTTAGCCCCTTCTACACTACTACTTCCCTGAATGGTGGTGGAAAACCTTGCCAATTTTTAATTTCTTCATATAATTAGGTTTTAATACAGTTGACAAAAAAAAAGCAACTACAACAAATTTAACATATGTAACAAATAAGGAAATTTGCATTAGATTTAGAGAATCTGGCAGACTGCCATTCACCACAAAGTCTTGGAACAAGATAAAGTCATCCATAACTTAACAGATGCTAAACAAAACAAAAATAAAAAAGTGCTATTTCTAAAAAATTCTTATGGTGAATTCAGATTTGGCTCCATGTTCATAACACAACTGACTTGACAAATGAAAAGTAAAGATTCAGATAAATAAAACACATATTAGAAAGGCCACACAGAGTGTGGGATGTCATAAACTACTGCAAATATTTGTACTGTTCTAAAAGCCATCTTGATTAAAAATTAACTATGTATTCACTGCTCCTATCCAGTCTTCCTGAAAAAAACTAAAATTAAATTTAAAACATGTTAAAATGTCCTGGTGTTTACACATTTTTCTTATCTGTGGAAGTACCAAGCACAGGGCTCTGTACTATGGCCATTTATTTCTTACTTGCAAATCAGACAATTCTTGACAAGACAGTACAGTACAATAACTCTTTCCATAATAAAAAGTTATATATGGGTTCTATTTTGGTCGTTTGCTGAAATGGTTTTCTTATATTTGTTTTCTTGATATAAATGCTCTTGGTCAAGATAGATGACAAATGTAATTAAGCTGCAAAAAAATCCATTTAATTGATAGTTCCAGTATTGAAGGAAGCTTGTGCAACCTTCGAGTTTGTTTTCTTGTTCAAAGCTGTACAGATGAAGTTTCCAGCTTCCATCACTTTATAAAGATTTACTCCCTAAAAAAGAAGTGAAAAATGTTAAGAATAATAAATGCACATGTTGAAAATGCTTAAACTCCAAGTTTTTTGCTCCAGGGTCTAATTTTTGCAAACAAAGGACCTGATTCATGTCATAATAGAGATCAGCAGAGTTACAGTGACTTACTTACACAATAGTCACAATTTTCAGTTCTTTGGAAGGTTCTACCACTTTGAGAGTGATTTCTTATCCTAACAGCAGTGGAACAAATACTTCAGTAATATCTTTCCAACTCAAAAGAGTCTGGAGTAAAGAACTGGAATAACAACTAGAAGAAGTTGGAATAGAAATATAATGTCTGCGTATGTGCTGTACTTATTTATCACCCAGTGCTAAGAAACTTCATGCTTATACCATTTGTAGCTCTGGAAAATGGAGGAAACACACTTGTACTGGCAAATTAGTTCAGTGAGAGTCAGGATCCTGCATTCTCTTGAACAAATATAATCTCCTTCTTGAAGAAGTTCCTTTTAATGCCAAATTACAATTTACATTGCTAGCACAACTGAGCAAAAAATTGTGGCTTCTTGATCTGCCCGTGCTAAAAAAATATTCCTTGAGCAACCGTTTTTTAACTAACATAAGATACATATCAATTGCTAAAATGGAATCAGATCACTAATTAATGGGAAAAAAACAGTTCATTATTAGTCTCCTGGATTACTCACATATAGTAGCAGTCATATAGTAACAGTTTTAAAGTTAGAGCGTATAAGTGATGGAAGTACTTGCTCCAGCGACTGGAATTTAGAAGCCAATAAAGCTCCTGTAGAAGGAATGCAAAAGGGGTCTTTGAACTACCAATACACTGAGCAGTCACATAAAACTGGAAGAAGTGTGTCACTCAACATTAAAGAGTACAAGATATATTGCAACAGAAATGCATTGCCATAACACTTACGGATTTATGCACTAAAGTTCAGACCAAGACCTGATTTAGATGCTTAGTCCTTTAATTGGATCTAGCACTTATTTCCATGTTCTATAGCAAGCTTTGCATTTTTCATTCTTGGAATTCACTAAAAATGCTGATAAGAATAGAAATTACTTCACAGAAATGTAATAAAAAACATTTTTAATTTGAAAAATAATGTTTCAAAGTTTCCAATCAGCTATAGTATTTAGCACCATCTAAAACGTATTGTTCAAAAACATCCTTTTATAGGTGTTTTATTTTAATACAGTTATAACAAGAGTGATTTCAACTTATTCTGTTTATTCTTTATTGATCATTACTTAGGTTCAGTTTGTAGAGTGCTATTGCACATAACATAATCTAAAAAATTCTTAAAGCGTTTGTGCTTTTTACTAGGAAGAAATGAGAAACATACCACCATAAACATACTTGGTAGTTAGACTATGAAAGATGGCAAAATAAAATCCCCAAACTACACAAAATTCACATTTTCAGCACTTTAACACTGCATAATGTGATATGTGTTGATAAGATACATATGTTCACAGTTCATTCATAAATGTGAACTTATTATTTAAATTACATTAAACGCAAACTTATTATTTAATTTAATTCATTTAATTAAATACAAGCATCTCTGCCTTTTAAATTGTCCTTCTTATGTAAGTGTTGTGAACCAAAAAGGATTACCATAAAGGCACAAAACCCAGCATGACTCACACATGGAGTTGGGAAGAGTAGTGACGGGTGTTTGTAAGGTTGTAGAGTTGTAAGGTTGTAGAGTGAAAATAACGTCTTCAGACAGATACTCAGAAATGTACTTAAGTGCATTTGTTAACCACTCCATATATCCAGAATTATTGCTTGACACCAAGGAATGATACCATGAAACACAAAGACAGGTACCTCCATAGTATCTATGAACTTGGATAAGTGCCTTAAAAGTCAGAAAAGATTCTGCTAGAAGGCAAAGTCCTTTAACTCCCATTGACTTCAGTTAATCAGTTCTCATTCAGCATTCATAAATACCAAGTCTATTATCTCTCTGTACTTCAGTTTCAGTGTCAGTAATGCGAGGCTAACAGTACTTAGTCACTTCTCAGAAATGCTTATTGTTTGCCAAGCACTTTGAAGGCATCATAAGCACAAGTACTATTACTGTAATTACACAGGAACCATATAGAAACTGTTTTTTATAGAAAGTACATGTCTCCCTATAAAGTTTCATAAGCATTAATGATCTATGGCATAATTATCTATCCATTACCATGGTACAACCAATAAATCTCTTTGTAGATGGGCTCTGCTAGAAAATTATTTCAAATTTAACCTGCTGGAGATTCATTTCATGCATCACTTCTTGATTACATGTTCTGAAGAACAGTACAGAACAAGCCCCAATTATTATTTTGATGTACCTAGTCAATCTGGACTCAATAACGTACACTTAAATACTGTCCATCCTTTGGTTGACACTTTAAGTGACTTCAGTTAACAGAATGAAAGCTTTAGTGCATAGCTGAGGAACAGGAGAAAGCGCTCTTTGCAAATGGACAGCATTAGTAATTATAATTTCATTTTGTGCCATTACACAAAAAGCGACATATGAAAAGATTTTTGTAATAACGATTTTACAGAATTCGCCACGGTACCAAAACCAGCCAACACTGCAAAGATCAAAGCTCAGATATTAAGGTAATAATTTTGAGGATCCACATTTCTCATCCAGTAAACTACTCATTTCTTAATGGGCCAGAAAAGGGTCAAGAAGCAAAGTCTTGTGTTTTGCAATTGTATAATCTATAATTAAAAAAAACCAAAAACAAAAACAAAAGGAGAAGTAAGTGTTTGATGGCAAGATTCTTATCTCCGTGGCATTTGGTATCAACCTTTAGGACAAGTTATATTCCTGCTTGGACACCAGATCATTAACAGATTAATAAATCTTATCAAGAAGCCTGGAAAAAGGTGCATTTACTTTAATCATGATATTTTTATTTACTTTATTCTTTTTGCTATGAGTCATTTGGAAAAGTCAATGGGTATTTTGCCCAAGGGAAGACTATACCGAAAGCCAAAGTCTAAAGTGCCCAGCAATGTAAAGTGAAATGCATTATTTCTCCTCCTTATTCCAAAAAACTGTGTTGTTTCAAAAGAATAAATGCCTTCTTAATGAAAAAAGCTATCCCAAAACATGTACGAACATTTCGAAACAGAGTCCACTTGTACAACGGACACTTGTGATTAAACCTTTTCTAAACAGATATCTGACATCTACACAGAACTCCCTAACCAGCACATGAAAGCAGATAAACATTACAGTGAACTCTGTAAGGGACTGAATATGCTTTAACAGTGTTCAGGGGATGTACAATTCAGAAACAAGTTCCATGATCCTTTTAGGTCAAGGAACTCCACCAGCATGTATGCCACACTGAACTGCAACCTACAAACAAATGATAAGCTCCCCAATGACTCAGATCTTTTCAGACATCAGGCTTTTCAGTTTCTTTTTGCAGTAGTTTAAATACAAACCACACACATTGCAGTTTTGGCAGCTCTTTATATGTTGTCCTTTGAACTTGACTCTCAAAGTCTATTTCTAAGTTAAAGGTGAAGTCACTGTATTGCTTGAGCTAGTAAAAACTCATTATGCCACATTTCCAGAACAATGATGACCAACAGAAAGACCAAAGAGCACATTTTCTGGAGAAGGCAGCATTACTTTGTTCCCAGAAATAATTAACGTGCCAACCAAGCCAGGGATACTAAAGTGGAAGTGCAGATGCTCACTGGTAAGGTTCATTAAAGGGCAGCGCAGTGCAGATAAATAAGCTGCTTTGCACTCTCCTCCAAGAACAGGGCTGGAAATAAAAATGACTCTGAAGCCTACTAGCCGGTAACAAATTTTGTACAATTTTGAAATGTATTAAATGGATACCTCAGAAATAGCAGCGTCCTGTGCTTGGGTTCCAAACACCACAATTTTTTTCTACTTTGAAGCCAGAAAAATTGACAACAAATTAATAAGCACTATGAACCAAATCCAAAGTTCTGTGAAAAAAGCTGAGGTCTGCTCAGTCTTTCTGCTGAAGAGCTGATCAGCCTTCTGGAGCAATGTCTACAGTAGTGATTTTTTTATTGTTACTGAGGCAGAGCAATGACTCAAAGGAGTTGCTACTGTGCAAATTCCTGTCAAATACTCTAAATTGCTAGTGAAGACAACATCATTCATGTTATGCGTCAAGCCGTGTTAAAGCATTGAGTTTGCAAAAACTACTATTAGCTCCCAATATTTTATTGTACAGCACAAGTAATTGCCAGGTATGTATGTATCATATGTTTTCTACAAAAATATTTTTGTTTTTCCTAAAGTCTTAAGTAGAAAGCAAAAATATCTTACTGTATTGATCCCCAGACCATGAAGCATGTATATCACATCCTCTGTGGCTACATTTCCAGTAGCACCTTTTGCATAGGGACAACCACCCAGTCCTGCAACAGATGAATCCACTACAGCAACTCCCATCTGAAAGATAACAATGAGAAAATGCAACATCAGCACAGAGTATTATTTATAATTATTCATAAATAGCAGGCTATACATATTAGTTACTGTGGATAAAATACACATTTCTCCACAAATGGATGTGTTCCTTGGGGGAAATTCCTTATAATGGCCTTAGTCCTAACATCTTTATAAGGTTAGGCTCTTCAAACACAGGATGTGGAACAGAGAACAGTCTATTACATGTGATTTTGGCAGATAAGATGATTGCTGGTTTAGAGCCAAACAGAGGTTTATGTTTTTTCTCTCTTTATCTCTCTACATGTTGTTTTTAAATAGCCTGCATCCATCCCTGCAAAGGCTTACATGCAACCAAACACAATCAATGCGTTTAAACAAATGTATAATTTTAAGCATATGTATAAGTCTTTGCAAGTTGGAAGTCTTAATATTAGCATCTGACTTATGTGTCATCCAAAAGATTTTGGGACATCTACCCTCTAAAATATATTTTGTATTAATGGCTATTCTTCCACAAAGAACTTCCCGAGCATTGTCTCTCTTCTAATTTTCTTTTCTTTCCTTTCCTCTTTATTAGAGATCATGAAGCCACCATGTAAGTAATTTTTTATTCGTGTTTTAACGGAAGACTACATGGTATTTTCACCCAAATTGAACACCACAATGTGAGGAAGAATTAAATTTTGGTAGATCTGTTAAAGAGTCCATCGGTTCAAATCAACTGGAAATAGAACTTTAAAGAACTTTATCCTGGTGAATCTGACCCATTGCTTATCGTATTCACCAGTCTAGAAGACAACACAACCCCCAAAATAGTAAATCTGTCCAACAGATAATATTAAATTTTGTATGGGATACAGCCTTCCCTCAGAGATTGGTCAGGGAGGGATAAAAGCTGAGCCTGTGATTTCGACTGCTTTGTTTAGTGAGCTCTTGCACCCTCTTCTTCCTGTGATTAGATTTTAAAATAAAGCTGAAACTGGGAACCATTTTTTTCTGTTATAACATGTTAGACATGGGATCCAGGACACTGGGTCTCACTTCTCAGAGAAAGCTCTTCAGTCTTCCCCTTGAAGAAGAGTAGATATCTTTGGAGGTGTTCAGGCTCTAGAGATAATGAGAGGCAGGCAATGGTATTAGGCAGAAAGGTCATCAGGTCTTCAAAGACACCAGCTTCTCTCTACCTTAAGCAAACTAGAGGGTTCTCCTCCCCCTAGGGCTAATTTAGGCAGACATGCACCAAAAGTTCATAAGGAGAAGTTAGGCAGACTGAATCAGAGTGCAATCTTAGCCCAAATTCAGGACAGGAGTTCCTGTGCAGAGACATGTTTTCAAAACTCCAACTTTGACTTTGTGTCCAGAGAGATTCAGAAGTTAAACCATGCCTGTTACTCACAGTTGCAAGTCAGTAAGATCAGCTTAGAGGCCTGGCTGCACAGAGAGCTGATTTCTGTTGATCTCCTTCCGAGGGACCTACCTGTTCCCCAAGCTAGCCTGGGAGCCTGAGGTTCTCCTTCACAGCCATGCACACAACTAGCTGGCAAGGTAGGCAAAAGATGATGTCCTGCATGTTGCAGTTGCTAAGTCCACTTTCTGAGTATACCCATTGGTGTGGGGTTTTTCATTCTGAAATAAACATCCCTAACGTTTTGTTGTATTTGCTTCTAGTTTTAACAGTGCTTTCCATAGTTTTATCATTGGCCTTACAGGCTCTTTGAAGTTCCAACATTTCTGGAGGACAATAATAGAGAGTCATCCAATGAAGTGTTGTCCCAGGTCCTGTTCCCAGATGGGGAACATTATCTTGAGCTAGGTAGCTGCTCAAAGCCTGTAATAAAGACCTCAAAGGAGCCGAGGTGCATAACTGTGACAGGCAAGACAGTACTGTTTAATATTGCTCACACAATGAGACTTGCTAAGAAGGGATATTGTACTTTAAAGTATACTAATCTGTTGGAGTGAATCACCAAAGTACGTTTCACATTTCAGTGACTTGTCACACACTTTGTTTGTGTAACCCACCAGCCAGAAAATGTGTTATACAACACATCTGCATCCAATACACGGAGGATATGCGTTTATGATAGCTTTCAACCGGAAATTCTGTCTCTTTTTGCACTAGCTGCTAAGATTCAAACATTTACTGTGGAAGTCATTGCTTCAACCTCCATAGTGGCAACTTTCAGGCTTGCACGTGTCCTTCCAGAAACAAACTGAAGGCCTCTTAGTGGAAAGACTTAGGGTATGGTGAAGGTCTGGGGAAAAGGAAAGGGAGACTAACATGTAGATGTGCTGGTATGATACAAGCATACCCACTACCATGTCTGCTCTCTCAGTCTGATTTTAAGATTTCCATCAGAAATTACTGTTTCATAGATAAAAAGGTAGAAGAAAGTGTCTTTCATGGAGTCTTCCCTCAGCTTAAGGTTACGTCATAACTGCTAGAGCATTCTTCTTGATGTACTTATTTTCAGTAACTTTTACATGGGGATAAAAGCTATAGGCAAATAATGTGCTGAGGTACCTCACAGCTGTTAAATTCCCAAGGAAGATCAACAGATTCAGAAACAGCTTTAGAAGCATATAAGCAGTCACTTTCTAACCCCAGTGAATTATCTCATGAAATGCTCATCCTTGTGCAAAAATGTATTTGGTGAAAACAGCCAGAAAAGTTTGCCAGGTCAAAGTTGGGGAGAACCTCCTCATGTGGGGTGCTCTCAGTATCAGTAGCCTGCTCTAGTCCTTTACAGGGCTCTCACTGTGAGAAAAACCAAGAAACTATACTGCCAGCATTAAAAGAGTGTGTCTTCTAAAGGCATTGAATATATATAATTTCTTGATAGGCTTGTACAAACAGTTGTGATGCCACCATAATTCCACATTTGCAGTGCAAGTCTCGTAACACTGACGTACATGTTGCTTAATACAGTTTGTTGAAAGTGTTTGCGAATACGATGGAGGGGTATGGGATACCACAGCAACATGAAGGTAACATGAAATACATATCTTTGTCTAAGCACATCCTAGTATTCTTAGGCAGCCTTGCCTGAGTTATTTCAAACTATGTCCACTGGAAGCTGGACTAAACTCAGTCAATTTAGTTTAATGTAGATGCAAGAGCATAAAACCCAATGCCTTCAGCTGGCTAAGCAATGGGAGCAGTAACCTCCAGATGGTGGACAGTGATAACTGCTCTGTCTTTAACTAGCAATTATGGCTAAACAGAAAAAGCAGAAAGTCTAGTCACAGCTTTACATTGGTAACATCCTCGGTGTGGCGGCTTTCATCTTAGTACAGGACATTTAAACCATTACTTCTCAGAAGCAGTGTATAAACATGTTTATGCCTCTATAATTGTATCTGCATCAGGATGGATTTGCCATTTTAACATTCAGCCAGTTGTAAACAAGGTCTTGACAGGGTGTATATAATACAGCAAGCTCTGACTGACCTCTAAATCTGACATGTCTTCAAATCAGTGCTCTTAATATGCAATGGATGGGTGTCTCTGACTTTATGATACTGTCCTTTAAAGTTCTCTTCACAATGCTTCTGATAAGATGTCTACTGCAACATACTGCTATTTCAGCAGCAGACTCAGCTGCATCTGTCTGCTCTTGCATGGGCCAATATAACGTGTTTTCTGATTCGTGCAGAATCACTGCAGTTCATGTCCAGTGTGGCCCCATTCAAAAAGTCCTTAAATAATCCATACTCCAAGTTCCATTCTAACAGTGCTAAAAACAGATGTTGGAAAACATCCTTCAGCAGCTCTACTAATTTGGAGATTAATATTACAGCTCAGCCTGTCCCAGCACAGAGTCTGAAATAGCACCTAATAAATAACTTCTCTGCAAGTTTGAGCAGCTATGAAGCTGTTTTGCTTTTGCAGCCATTAAAAGCATAAGGGGCTCTAAAAGAAAAGCTAAAAATTGACATAATGTGTAAAACAAGGCCTCTTCCTTCATCACATGTCCAATATTTGTCAGGCTTTTACAGGAGATAATGAGTTTCAAGCCTTTCAGCAATCTGAGCTTGCAAAATATTCACTGTCAACATGAGATCTTTAAAAATCCCACAGTCTCGTTGTCACTTCCTGACAGACACTAAATTGTGCTGAGATTCACGAGAAGTTGCACTGCAGCAATTTTGTAGGATATGTCCTAGACGAGCACTCATCAAGCTGCTTACGTCTGGATGTGTGCGGGGGGTGAACAACGGCTTGGCTTCTTCCAGGACAACTTAAGTTCTCCAATCTTTTTTGACTCTTGCAGGGTTTTGATAATCACTAAATTCCTGACAGTGGTTCCTGAATGTTTTCCAAACTTCAGCTTTGGCCAGCTTTAGCTTATTCTGTAGAGAAGGCAGAAGACTTTTTGCTCCTGTCCCATGCTAACTTCCTAATTCCCCAATGAGAGAGCAAGGAATTAAACTCATCACCTTTGTCAAATAGCCAGTTTTAACAGGAAACCATTATTGCCAGCAAATAATAAATGCTTCATGTTTCTCAGTTTGCTTTACTACCTCCTCATAACTTTTTGTTGGGACAGTCAGTCTCCTTCCTTACTGATCTTTAAACCTGTCTTCATCTGACAGAAAATTAACTTTGTCCCTCTCTTAAAAATGGCAAGGTCAGCATCAGTAACCCCAGGGATGCAGGAGGTATAAATCAGACATTATAAACTGTGTCTCTCATAAATTGGGATTTTTTAAAACTATGAGATGTTGAAAACATAATATCAAGGATCCCAGGAATGCATAAAATAGGTATTAAATAGGAAAAGATTCGTTGTCTCAGAAAGTTCAGGGGCCACAGTGTTGTAAAGGTCAGTACCACACTGCCTTAAAGATAGGTGCACATAGATATGACAAAATATCAGGGTATTAGTTCAGCATTTGTTCAAGGAAGGGAGAAGGGAGGGAGTAAAAAGTAAAAAGAGGACCTACACGTGTTAGGTCAAAGACCATCAACACAGAAGGCAGCACATGACTGATACTTC